TTTTTTTTTTTTTTTTTAGAAATATTTGTCCAAGCAGCCCTGCACAAGCAGGTAGGCAGATCTAAAAATAGCTAATGCCTACTTGTGCAAGCAGCTTTATTTGAATTTTTATTTTTTTAAAAAAAGGGCCGAAACGGCCCATGACACAAGTCGGCCTGACCCGGGCTTTTTCCGGGCTGAGCCGTCCTAACCGGCGAGCTTTTTTGCCATTACTTAGCACAACCCAATTTTCATTATATGTTATGCATGACTGTGTTTAAGGACATATATGTTGAAATATATTATTCTTTTTGATAAATCGAAACTCCTTTACAAACTGTATAAACTTCTTCTAAAACAAACGACTTTAGATAATAATATGTGCGAATGGATCTTATATTAAAGATGGAATTAAATCATACATTCTAAGATATACAATTATTATTGAAATTTATGCCGACTTGGTTTTGAAATATCAATAAATAAATGTCCCATCATTTTGAATTTTTTTTTGTCATGACTTTGACAATTTTGGTTACAAAGTGGAATATTCCAAATATATGAAAGTTTTGATAATGATATTCTATATTTTTAAGATTATGGGTACTTTTAGAATCTACTTATAATTAAAATAAGACATTTGGACTTGTGTTCACAATATTAAGGGACCAATTAGAGATTGTTGATTAAGAATTTTCGAGGTAAATAAACTTTTCTTTGACATTTGTCTTCAAGGACGATGTTGAGAGTCGAATATGTCCTAAATAAAATTAGGAATTGAATTGTCTATAACAAGAATTCGAGAAATAGTTTAAAATGATAAGATTAGATGACAATGCATTTGTTTTTACGTTATAATATTACAATTTTTTGAAAAATTCTAATTAGGGATTCTTGACTTGTAAAAAACGAAGCAAGTACTTACATAACTCTTTTTTTTGGTTACATCTGGGTTCTGCCGTGTTAATTTTGTAGAATTTGATGGGTGGTTTCTATCGGTTTCAATATCGTTTTTACGAATATCTATTTCAACGTTAAAAAAAAAAAAAAAAATCCAAAATCCCGCAACCTCCTCCACTTGCAATCAAGAAATGAAAAGAGCACGATAATCTTAAAATAATAATTTGTAAACTACCTTTGAAAACAATCAAATACGATTACATCTTGACCGACTGTTTGTCTTTTGTCGGATTGTAAATCATTGAACTTGAATAAAGCGACTTAGTTCATTTCTCTAGGGTAAGGAAATTCATGGAAACTTACCAAACTCATCATGAGTGACTGATTCAAATTCTATAGTCAAATTGTATTTGACTAATTTCAGTTGATCGTCCAATATAGGAGGTGAAAATTACAAAATTAAATTGAACCGAAGAGGACTAAACCAAATGAAAGCCTATGAATAAGTGGGAAATCCCCAATTAAGGAAAGTAATTACCAGTTTTAAATTTTCATTTTTAATAATAAAGACATATTTAATATACTGAATTAAGCTTACGTTGAATTCAAGATAATAAATTATTTATTAAAAAAAAAAATTGACAAGGACATTTGAATAAAAATTGATTAGCTTGGTAAGCAGTCAAAGTCGGCAATATGAAAGTCAACGGCCTTCTATTGCTGAAAATAATCCTCAACAAAGATAGGATTGAATAATTATTTCAGACTAAATTCTTTGCATATTTGATTTATTAAATTAGATAATATTGTTGACAAATTTTGCTACACAACTATTTTAATTAATAAATATCAAATTTTGATTAGTTCTAACGTGATTTCTAACATTAGTCGAACTTGAAGTTAAATAAAAATTGAACCAACTTAAAATTAGAAAATAAAATGTTACAAATTTCCTGACTTTTTATTTTTGACTAAATAATCATGTACAACGACAATTTCACTATGCAAAAAAGCTTAGGAAGCCGACTAGCATATTATGAGACTTCATAAACTTTCTACATCTGAACCTATACGCTAAGTGAATCCACAAAAAAACATGTACGGCCTCGTTCGGGAGGGATTAAAATCCAATTAAAATTGAAAATATGGTCGTTATTGGATCTCACTCGTCTAATAAAAGTCAACAATAACGACTATATTTTCAATTTTAATCCGATTTTAATCCCTCCCATACAACGCCTTAACCTCGTTCGGGAGGGATTAAAATCCAATTAAAATTGAAAATATGATCGTTATTGGGTCCCACTCGTCTAATAAAAGTCAACAATAACGGCTATATTTTCAATTTTAATCCGATTTTAATCCCTCCCATACAAGGCCGTAATCCTGATTTCAAGATTACCAAGTAATTTAATGCGATCTACAATCACTTTTGCCTACTAACGTTTCAAAAACACGCAATTCAATCCACAATATATGAATAATCTGTTGATAAAAAAAAAAAAAAGAAGGCACTATATTCTATGGTGAATTTTTATGAATTTTAACTAAATGAAAGTGTTGTAATGCTGGATTGTTACAATTGTATATACAGAGAGAAATAGTTTGGAATCCTCCTCTCTTTCATCTATCCTTGTTCCTATATGTAGGCATTGGATTGGAATTAGTTGCTCTAGTCATGTCAAACTATGGCGTTTTAGCTTAGGATCTTGTGCCACCATGTGTTTGGTGATATTCTAATAATTGGTGAGGTTGGGTGCGGTGGGATCATGATGGTACCTAAATCTTAGGCATGTGTTCTAAGTCGTCTTGTCACTCTGTTGATTGATTAGTCTAAATGATATTACTATCAAAAGAAGTCATAATGATATTTTTCCTTATGATGTTTTTCATAGTTTGACTCCAAGCTCCATCAATTAAGTATTTCTCCAAAGCGTCGAGTGGACCTTTTTAAGTCCTTTGATAGGCTAAATTCTTTGACGAAATCAAATAGGGTTCGAACTCATTGGACGTGGAATTTCAGATCGATAACAATAGAGTTATTCATGCCTCAATCTAGTCATTTAACTTTTTTTACAGCACATAATCTTAGAAATCTTTTCTAGTAGTTTATGAAATAGAGTTCATGACCAAGACATTCACAACTCCCGCAACGATGAGTCCTGCCCAAACATCTTTCTTAATATTTGTAACAAGTACAAGACCACATTCCACAATCGTGTTCGTTTAATAAAAAACTAAAAGTATTATTCTGAAATGGTAATTTAAAAACATTTTCACATGCCAAATAACATTTCTAAATCAGATTTGTTTTTCCGACTCATGGTTATAGAAAAAAACGGTTACAGGTTTTGACCATAGAGCTGTTTGCCGGCTGTAGTTGTCTATGTATTATATAAACCAAATATACATCTTTATATATTTTATATATATATATACGCGTGTTGAACAGTCAAAATAGTATCATATAAATTTTTCTTCAAGAATATTTTTGCGTCTCGATGAAACTGCTGAAGCAGTCATTCCTGAATATAAAGAATTCTGGGGATTTTTTTTTTCCTCATTGAAGAATCGGTTTTTTTTTTTTTTTAATTGATTGAGTGTAAGGTTGAGTTTTTTGGTTCATGAAGTTATTGAACAAGAATTTCGGTTCTTGGTTTTTGATTACGCCATGTGGGAAGTTGAATTTTTGAAGCTTTGGTTGCTTGAGAGTATTGAATAATTCATAAAAAGAATGGGGGGGTTTTTTTTTTCCTCTTTGATTGAGTTGATATAATGTTTCATTCAATGGATTGTGAAAGGGTATTTTGATGGAATTGCAAGTGTAAAGTTAGGATTTTTATTATTAGCTTTATGGGTTGTGTTTGTGGAAAACCCTCTTCAGCTATCAAAGATAGCGAGGAGTGCCCAAAGCAGAGAGAATTGATTAGAAAGGCATCGAAATTGGCTCAAAATATTTCGTCGAGAAGACAGGAGAGTTTTAGGGTGCAGGAGAAATTGGAGAATGGTGTCCTCAGAATTAGGTCGGTTGATAAGAAGGGGGAGAGTTTTAGGGTGCAGGAGAAGTTAGAGAATGGTGGTGTAAGAATCGGGTCGATTGACAAGAAAGGGAACAGATCAAGGAGGGTGAGTGATGATCACTACGAGAACAAAATAGAGAATTGTGAAGTTGTGAATAATTTTCCCTGTATGGGAAGTGTTCCCAAAGCTTTAGAAGGAGAACAGGTTGCAGCAGGATGGCCATCTTGGCTCGTCATGGTGGCTGGTGAAGCGATCAGGGGATGGATTCCACGTAAAGCTGACACCTTTGAGAAACTGGATAAGGTTTGATTTGTTGATTGCTAGTAGTTTCTTGATCTTATCTGGATAGTGAATTTCATCTCATGGTTTTAGTTGTTTCACTTTCTCTTAATTGCTATCTTCACGGATTTGCATATTTGTGTTTTGATGACGATGAGTATATTGATGCTTATGTTATTGTTAAAAAACCGCCATATTGAAGCCTTTGAAGTTCTGAAGTAATGGTTTCAAAAGTAGGTCTGGTCTATATTATAGATGAAATTCTCAGAAGTGAAGATTTTTCCTATCAATTTAAGGGAAATTTTGCATACAAACTTTACATAATCATCGAACTTACAGTTCTGAAGAATGAAGGACTAATAGTGGTGACGTTTAGATCATGCAAGGGATGCAATCATGCAAGCTGTGTCACAGGCACTTTAGATTCATTAAAAATGGGTTTAAGCATTGGAGTTAATGGAGATTCTGAGAATTAAAATTATTTGGTGTGATATATAAATTCCATATGAATCACAGGCCTTTTAAGAGATTTCAATTAATCAACTTCTCTTGTTGGATGTTCTGGACACTGAACTGGCTTGCTTTATCTTGCTGCAAGTCTGCAACTATTATTCCTTTTAACTTGTTATTAGACTGTCAACCATGCAAATGTTATATTTATATGATTGGTTTTGGCTCTTTTGTGATGTCATATTGTTGTTTCAGATTGGTCAAGGAACTTACAGTAGCGTGTACAAAGGTCGTGATCTCCTGAATAATAAAGTTGTTGCTCTGAAAAAAGTGCGCTTCAATAATATGGATCCTGAAAGTGTAAAGTTTATGGCAAGGGAAATCCTCCTCCTTCGACAACTTGACCATCCAAATATAATTAAACTAGAGGGCTTGGTCACGTCTAGAACATCGTCTAGTTTGTATCTTGTTTTTGAATATATGGAACATGATCTCACTGGGCTTGCATCACTTCCTGGAGTAAAGTTTACTGAAGCTCAGGTTCTTTTACATCATTTGTTCATTTTTACTGTTATTGATAAGCAATATGTTGTTCTTGGTTTATGTTTGTTTGGATTGAACATGACATGGACTTCGAGCATCCATTACATAATTAATTTTCTAATTATAATTGATTAATGCACCCATACTGGAATATAAAAGCCAAAACCTCTGAAAGATTGACCTCTTATTTTTTTCTTGTCATTTAGACCAACTAATTATATATATTTTTGAATATTAGGTGAAGTGTTACATGCAACAGCTGCTTACTGGGCTTGATTATTGCCATAGTAATGGTGTCCTGCATCGAGATATCAAGGGTTCAAATCTTTTAATCGACAATCACGGCATCTTGAAGATCGCAGATTTTGGCTTAGCAAGTTATTTTGATAATCATCAAATTGTTCCATTAACTAGCCATGTTGTGACCTTGTGGTATCGGCCACCAGAACTTTTATTTGGAGCAACTCACTATGGTGTTGCAGTGGACTTATGGAGTACTGGTTGCATACTTGGGGAATTATATGCAGGGAAGCCGATCATGCCTGGTAGAACAGAGGTATTAGAAACCTGTCTTTCACTGTTGCAGAAATATCAAATGTCCTCAACTGCCCTTTCTTGAATTTTTTTTCTCTTCCAAGAAATATTGCTCACTCAATATACCCAAGCCATTTTTAATGTCCAATTTTCTTTCCTTTTTCTGCGACCGTACGCCTGTCTCTTTTATTTCTATTCCTGGTGGAGAAGAGACGAAGTAAACAAATACATGGAATGAGTTTTGCTTACACCTTTTGAGTCAGTTATGGGTTCTTTACTGGGTATTTTCATAATTTGACCTTGACAGTACAACATTTATCACCAGCAAATATTCTGTGGCAGTTGTGAGGGTGGTTTAAAGATATAACAGTGTTGTTTACCATCACTCTTAGGCTGAATATTGCTGTTTGTCTTCAAATGAACATTGGCAATTGCTGGCCTTACGACTTTAATGTCCTCGGAAGTTGCATCACTATATGGGCTTACTGAACGGGCATTGTTAATTATTTGATCTTCTAAGTAGCATATTCATTATTAGTAGAACATTTGCAGTCAGTGATGGTGGTTAAGATAAATGTAAAAGAGTTGATTCTATGCCCACGCTAGATTTTATAATGAAGAATGCCTATGCATGGATATAGAGAATGTTTGGCTGAGTTTAATCAAATGTTCTCTATATCCATATTTGAGATTAACTTTTACGTTTTCTCTAAGCTCAGCCAAACATGCTCGATGTATTAGCTTTAATTGCGTGTGTGTCTTGGGTGCTTATGACAAGCGGCAACATTATGGGTGTGATATTTCCTCAGTCCATTATTTACATAGATTTCTTTGACCTTGTAGGTTGAGCAATTGCACAAGATTTTCAAACTTTGTGGTTCACCATCCGAGGATTATTGGAGAAAATCAAAATTACCTCATTCGAGTGGATTTAAACCTATTCAACCTTGCAGACGGCGAATTGCTGAACTCTTTAAGGATATTTCTGGTCCCGCAATAGGCCTAATAGAGACCTTACTTTCTATTGACCCTGCAATTCGAGGATCTGCCGCTGCTGCTCTCAAGAGCGAGGTAAGCATCTCTCTCTTTCTCTGTTCGGATTTCATTGGAGTGATAAAGATATAATTACATTCTTACTCTCCCAGTAAAAGTAAAATGTTGAGCTATGTTGATGTGTTGTGTATTTTAAAAAACTTAAGTTTCTAGTAGTCTTAAGATCGATGCTCTATTGTTCTAGTAGTATAAGTATGATAGTCCATTGTTCTAGTGACATTAAGTTTCTAATAACACAAGTTTCTTCCAAGTCTTAAGAATAAAGTGTCTCATTACAGATTTTTTTTTTATTAATACTGTTTTTCTCCAACAGTTCTTTACGACAAAACCATTTGCTTGTGATCCATCAAGTTTGCCAAAATACCCTCCCAGCAAAGAGATTGATGCAAAATTACGAGAAGAGGAAGCTAGAAGGTATGTTCTGTTACAGTTGCTGGCTTGAATGACCAATCTGGCCATATACTTCTCTTTATTCTTCTCTTCTGATATCTTTTATAAAGGCTGAATTACAATTTATTTACTTCGTGTTTCATAAAGATAAAACTGTACATTTCTTTGTGCATTTTCATGACATCATTCATATAAAGTAATCGACCTTTGTTTGAATCAGCAATGACTCCAATAGAGTGGCGAACTATGATCATGTATCTACCCCGAAATTTATTGTTGTTATTTGTAAATAAGCCTAATTGCTTTGACGAGGCACTGTCAATTGACTAGCCTATTTGTGGCATCCAGTTTATAAATTTCTGTTTTGTCTTATTGTAAGTTTCTCTTTTAACTTGTATAAATATATAATTTACAAAGGGATGCCTAATGTTTGTTTACCAACTTTTACAGGCAGGGAATCCCTGGAGTTAGGGGCCATAGGGGTGACAATGATGCAGGAAGATCAAAAGAAATGCGGGCAGCTCCAGCACCTGATGCCAGCTCGGCGCGTGCTAGGTCAATGCAGGTATATGGAAAGACTGGTTAAAGTTTATAGCCATTTCTGTTTCTCTATCTTCTTCCATTTCGCCCCTCTATCTTTCTTATTTTTATGATTTTGGTTCAAATTATAAGGCCACATAGAGTGCTGATTGTTCTCCAGATTTACACGATAAGAAGGCGACATTCTTCTGAACTTTTAGGTGATAAACCCATTGGGCATTCTCCAGTACATAAAATAACGTTCGAACTTTTTGATTCATATTAACAAGTTATATAGCTCTACTCAAATTCAAACGTCTTAAAATACTACTTTTATGTCTGCAATTTAAGTCTTCTTCCGATAACAGTATTTACTGTTGAAAGATCAGTTTACTTATCTCTTTCCATTTTATGTCTTGAGGTCACTTATGTCGTTTCTTAGCTACCTACTATTGCCATAAGAACTAAGCTGTTTTCTGAGTGGTCAATAGTATGGCTAGAAAAATAATGTTTCCGAGCAAATTTTTATGGAAATTGAAGCCAAATCTTCTCAGAACTAGTAAAATTAGTTCTTGATGACTCGTAATTGGATTTATGAAAACAGAACACCCGTTAGTTAAGTATGCTAAAATAACATCGCCATGATGTTCACCTCATGCTCAGCCTATTTCCTGGTGATTCAAATATGCGTCATATAAATGTAGCGTAAGAACTTGATACTTCGTTTAGTGTTGGAAAAATAGTTAGTATTTTAACACTGCTTACATCAATTTTACATTTCAAAAATGGACCTTTAGCTTGTCCACGTGACTTAATACAAAAGAGAGCATCCAAGGGAAAGCTATATCGTTGTGATGCAAATGGCAAAATAAACATCCAATAGTCTAAGCTATTAAAAAGGAAAAACAAGTTTACACGGGTAGAGTTGTGGCATTGAATTGCTGACGTACACCAAATGTCTACCCAAGGCTTACTCCAATTGTAGGATGGTTAATTCTAGTTGACATTGTTGTAGCCTTCCGAACATGATTTGTTTACACATATGGGCTCACCCTCTTACCAATTCTTGGTTTTATTCTTTTACAGAGAAGAGATGGCCATTCCAATCCAAAGAGTCGAAGTGAGGCATTTAACCCTCATATGGAAGAAGCGGCTTCCGGTTTTCCAATTGGTCCACCTAGACATACACAATATTCTAAAGCAAGTAGCAAAAATATGTCGGAGGATCCTCTGCAGAAAGTTTCTCATTCAAGGCCTCTTGCTCCAGAAATGGGGTGGACATTTTCCAGGAAGAAACATGATGATATTTCCATTGTTTCAGCCCGAGCTGATTTATCTTCACTATCTGGTTTAGTGGCATCTAGGGCTTTGTCATCTGTAGAATGCAGTGATAAATCAGAATCGTTTGGAGATCCCACAGGACGGCAGGATAGGAGACGTCACGATCCTTTTTCTAGTTCTCGTCAAATGGAAAATGGAAGATCTAGTACCAAAGAACCTGTTAATGTGAGTTTCTGAACTTCATGTGTGTGTGAACCATCGTAAATCTTGTGTTTTTACTCACGTACATTTTCTTGTTATTGATCACGGTAGTATAGGATTGTCAATTAATCCAAAACAATTTATATGTATATATACTCTTAGGTTTCACATAGCAGTAGATCCTTAATTGCTGAATCATTAGTTTCTTATATTTCAGTTCTTTACCATCTCTCTCTTTTAAGTTTATGAACTTGATATCTAAACGACGATTCTGTTTTCCCAGGATGAACATGGTTCCAGAGGGAACAAGATGCATTTCTCTGGTCCTATACTTGTCCAGTCAAATAATATGGATCAGATGCTTAGAGAACATGATCGTCGGATACAAGAAGCTGCTCGACGTCTGAGGCAGAATAAGACTAGAGCAAGTAAAGTCTGGCTGCACAAGACGCAATTGACATCCAATCCAGCACATGTCTCGAATCATAAAATAGAATAGGACCATTTTGAGACAGAGATTTGTCCCTGCAAACATTTACTTTTCTGTATATTTGCTTTGTAAGGGATTAATCCTACTTTTTGTATTTTAGCTTGATCAACTCTTTCTGTCAAACTGAATGTAAAATAGAGTTAATTGCAAAGAAGAAATAGAGTAAAATAGCGTCATGGCTTGCAAGAGTGACATCCAGACCAAGACAAACTCGTGGATAAACTCGAATATTCATACGATGTTATTGAACATATTATAATTTCGATTTAGACTAAAAGTTACAATAAAATATACATAAAAACGAAGCTTATCTACATTATAGCAAGTGTGATTACCACCAAATTTATATTTAATTGGCTTATAAGTTTGACATGGGAGATTAAGATGATTTAGTGGTACGGCACGTTTGAAAAGTTTAAAGCTAATTCTGATGTTTAATGAAATTATTTTTAAATATGTTTAGATAATTTGTTGTAAGTACCCTGTCTAACTATAAGAGATTTTAGAGAAAGTACTTAGTAAATTCTTCTACAAAAAGTATAAGCAGAAATAAAAACTCTATCAAACATGTCGTAATTATAGAACGTAGAGACTATTCCACGCCAATAACGAGGCTCCATGTCTTATTGCATGCGTGCTTGTGAGATTTCGAAGGGGATGATTGGTATATTTTAGTTATGATATGTTGTCTAATATACTAAACACACGTATTTAAAATTTAAGTTTATTGAAAGTTTGCTCTTTAAATAGCTGAAATTTCAAATCGACACTCGTATGAAACGGACCTTCCCAATAATTTCCCAAGTTTAACATGGTCTCTAATATGCTATAATTATTAAGATTAGGACCATTTCATTTCATAGTAAAGTTTGCTCTTTTCTTTATTCTTTCCCTATTCTACCCAACTTCAATATTCTATAATTATAATCTGATTTTTTTTCTTCCTTTTTATCTACTTGGTATGATTAGCTTAACTAGTAGTAAGTCCTACAAATTGAATAAAGTGATAAATGAATTGTATTTATGAATGCGTAGATGAAATTAATATTTGATTTTTATTGAATATATAAATCATTCATAAATTGATTGCCGAATTGAGGCTTAAAATTACAAGAACACAAAAAAAAACTCCTGATTTTATTTTGTTTTATTACTTAATCACAATTAATCTTATAGGCTTCAATTAACACATGGAGAGATCTAATAAAATGTCTATATATATATATATTTAATTATTGTTAGAATGTCTTTAAAAGACTCTTTATTTTTAAAGAGTATGTTGTACATAATAGAAAGTATCATTAAATTTAAAATAAAATAAAAAAACTGGAGATAACAATTTTTTTTTTAAACTCTTTGTTTTGTTTTTAAATAAGTATTTTTTTGGCTATCCTTTTCAAATAAAATGAAATATTAACATTTATTGGCTAAAATATTCAAATATTATTTAAATAATTAAGTACAATTATTAAGATATAAAACATATAGGGAGTGAATTTTCCATCTTAAAAAGTTAAATTAAAGAGCTTATTAAAACTAATTTAAAGAGTTAACTTTTCAAAATAGAGAGAGTATCTATTTGGATAGGATCTTAGTAATAAGGATCATGTGATTAGTGCCCCATGATCTAAAAGGATTTTAACTTATATTCTTAAACATTTTTCTAATAAATAAGTAAAGTAGATTTATTTACTATTATTTTCTTTTATATTGCACAAGCAACTATCAAGAAGACTCCTTCCATTATGCTTGATATTATTTGAAAAAGATTTTGATACTACTATTGACGCGACACGAAAGAAGTTGGTAATTCAAGTTTATGAGCGGATTGATTTTGAGTGGTTAGTAGCGGTTTTTAAATCTATACAACCTATGCTTAGAAGTTTATTATCACCGATTCTGAAAGTTCTTTAAAAGAATAAAATCACGTATATATTCCTTAGTAAAATTTTCTTTTATATTAATTTTTTTTTTACTCATAAGTGATATTTTATTCATAGATAATTTTTTTTACATATAAGTTAATATTTAATTTAAAAAATTAAATAAATTTAAATATTTGCTTCAAATTTTAAGTTATTATTTTTTACTTATAAGTGAATTTTACAATTATAAGTGAATTTAATACTTCTAAATAATTTTAATTGAATTTTTTAAACTTATAAGTAATTGTTTTTATAT